TTTTCACTGACTGCTAACAAGTTCCCATATCCCAGGTGGGAAATACTAGTTTGTATCTGTTAGAAAGGGCCTGGGGACTAGGAGGACAAGTGGTGAAAGACTACAAGATGAACGCAAGCCAGAAGTGTGTTCTGACAGGAAAAAAAAGCATAACAGGATAATTGGCTGCATTAAAAAGTAGCACAACCAGACCAGGACAAGTCACCCCTGCTTCACACTCACTGGACCACATTTACAATACTGTATTTAGTTTTTGACCAGGAAAGATAACAACCTGAAGCAAGTTTTGTGGATGGCCTCCAGTCAGTGCAGGGAGCTGAAGCTCCCACTCAGTGAAGAGAAACTGGGGAGAAAGATGTTTGTTCAGAGTGCAGAGGAACCTCATGGCAACTTCTAAACGCCCACAAGGGAGGGATGAAGACAGACTGAGAATCTGTACAGCAGGTCATGGTGGGAGAGTGACAGAAAACAGTCATTCATTGAAACAGCAGACTGGATATAAGGAAACAAAAACTTTTCAAGTATTGAACAGATTGCCCACAGAGAGCATGCAGCCTCATCCTTGGGAGAGGCTGAGGATGAAAACGAAAAAGCTCTGAGAAACTTGGTGTCAGGATTCTTGGAGCAGCAGGTTCAGGCACAAATCTCTAGAAGTCACCTCCATTCCAAGTTACTGTCTGAGCCTTTGAATCCATCAGCTTTTCAGCTGGAAGCCAGTTCCTTCCAAAAAGTATAGACAATGCTTTATTTTTCAGAGGGGAAATATTCTTTAGATCTAAGGATTTCATAAGATGCCTGGGAAAATGCTTGTGCTGTAATGATTTGCTTTACTTGGCGATATCAGCAACTTAAGAAATGCAAAGTTGTAATCTACTTGTGTAGAAAGACTCAAACCTTCCAGTATCTGATCTGTGCTTAAAGCCTTCAGTGACAGAAAACCCACTGGATGGAGCCAGAGGCATACATCTCATCCCACAGCCACTATTTGTTTAAAGGATCACTCTTCCTTGAGGCACAAAACTGGAGCAGTCTACATAACAGGCTGACACCACAAGGGCTCTCTCTAGATACAAACTGCAACAAAGGGCGTAAGGAAAGTGTAAAAACAACATTCGTATCATACCTGTGTCTCTGCTCCACTCCCATTAGGGCCTTGATGTTTTACTCCCCTTTCAGAGGAAAATATGGATATCTTTATCTTCAAGGATAACAAAATCCAGCTCAGCTGCAGAACGTGGTAAAGAATGGTAATAATTATCTCACATTTTCTGTAACGAAAGAGTTCTAAGCGCAAGATAATGAAGGGTGTCTGAGTTTCAGCTTGGATGGAATTGTTTTCTTCAGTGTCTGATATGATACTCCAGTTTTGCTCTACATTGCACACTGACACCTGTATTTACTGCTAGGCAGTGCTGCACAGAGCCAAAGTCATTCTCAGCTGAGAGCCCAAGGAAGTGAGAGGGAACAGAGTTAGGACAGCTGACTTAAACAGGCCAAAGGGAGATCCCATACAATATGACACGGTGTGGAAGGAGTTCTGAAGGGCATAGAAGTTCTTGTAAATCTCTTCTACTAGGAGCCTAACTGGACATTGATTGGTACGTGGTGAGCAATTGCTTTTGCATTCATCATAACTGTTATCCTTTTCCTTTCCTCTATCTCAGTAAATAATTTTATCTCAACCCATGAGTTCTACTTTGTGCTGTTTTCTCCCCCCTTCCATTATCTCCTGCATTTCACTGGAAAGGAGTGGATTGAGTGAAGTACTGCATGATGCTCAGGCACCTGCCAGGTTAAACCACAACAATGGGACAACTTTCTCTGCCAATGGAAAAATAAAAACACGTTCATTATTATTTATGAAAGATTGAATACAGTTCAGACTTACTGGTTTGAGGTCTCTGTGGGCATGACCCTGACTGGCAACATAAGCGACTGCTGAAACAGTGTCGAAAAAAGACTCCAGCTTCCTCCTCTGAAAGGTGGTCCTTAGAAACAATATAATCAAACAGCTTCCCTCCAGGACAATGCTTTAACGAGAAAGGTAAAGTTATCTGACAGTGTACTTAGAATGCATCAGAGAAAAACAAGCAACAGTGAGAGCACAGAAAGCACAGGACACCATTCCCCGTGCTCAGTCAGAGCAGTACAGAGTGCTCCAGTTATGCCATGGGCCAGCACTGTGGCATGCCACACAAGCTGAGAAATCTGACCCTTGCCTCCAATCTGGTAACTGAGGCATTGCACTCAGTGTCATGGGTGGCATAAATCACTCAGGAGATGGCAACAACGTGGGGGCTCTGGTGTCCTGCAGACCTTGCAGAGGCTACTTTAAAAAATTGAAGTGTAAGTTAGGAATTAAAACCAGAATGCTGATTAGTGGCTTTTACAAAAAGACAGAATATAGAACACTTTATTCTTAATTTTAAAACCAATGAATCTTGAACCCATTCACCATTGAGATATTTAAGAATCATTTCATTTCAGCTTCATTTTTATATTATTGTCTACTGCTAAAGATAAAAACAGTAGCCTTAAGCGTGGCAGGAACACTATTTCTTACCTCTAAGACCATGAATATTTTCTTTGATGTCTCTATTACATGATGCAATTGGCAAACATCTTGATGACTTAAGTTCTTCATGGCATCAATTTGTTTTAACACGAGGCAAGTCATCCTTAAGAGACCATAAAAGCAAGCTATGAAATTGCTAACTAATTTGGCATACCAGGTACCACATCTGACTGCTGTGTAACATAAGATGCCAAAGCCTGTATGTGACAGTACACAATTCAGCATCAACTCAGCAATGGCTGACATTACTCCCATAGGAATTCTAAAACACAGATCAGAGAAAGCTGAAATGTAAAATATCCAGTATTTTCATTAGCACTTTGTTAAAGTTGCTGTAATAATGTTGAACTCCCTCCATTTTACAGCCAGAGAGTATTGCCCTCTGAACAACAAGGAACAAGATTTGTGGTGTTCTGCTGAACTTTTTCCAACCCTACAGCATCCTTCACAAGGCAATGGCACTAGTAGGCTGCATTTCTATATACCACCTCCCTGTGTTCTCGAGAACTCCACAACTCCAACAGAAGGTGTTATCATATTTAAATATCTTTTGGCTTACCCCAAAGCAACTTTGTCCGTGATTTTTGTTGCAACTTTTTCACCAGTAAGAAGATGCCGTCCGAGTTTCACCTTTGCAAAACCACCTAAAATTCAAAACAAAAATGCTTAAAGTTGAGCGTGAATTCTTCTCTAATATAATGGTACAGAGAAAGCAGAGTACCTAGCATACATTGCGTGTAACGTTTTAATTAGAGGAAGAGGTGATCAGCATAATCAATTCCCAACTGGTTTCAAAATTCAATTTCAAGTTTATACACATGAAACCTGACATAAGGATCTTATAAGAGTCCTCCGAGTCCTTATAAGTCCTCCGAGCACCTGCAGTGAGGAAGAGCCAGCAGGGTTTACATCCTACTTAGGACACACTCTTAGAAGCAGAAGGGGCAGCTCCAGCACTGCCCATCTCCTCACCAAAGTGCATCCCATCTCACCTGGCAGTAACAAATCACACTGCATGGCTCTGACTTCTCTTATGCTAACAGTACAGAACACTGCTCCGAGCTTCATGCCGCAGAGCAGCAGCAGGGTTGGACTACAGCTTTAGAATCATAGAATCACAAGGTTGAAAACCACCTGCAAGATCATCTAGTTCCAACCGCCCTCCCATCACCGCTGCTACCACAAGCACTGAACCAGATCTCGCAGCTCCTCATCCAGACGCCTCTTGGACACTGCCAGGGATGGCGACCCCGCCACCTCTCTGGGCAGCCAGTAGCCTATCCTAATTCTGTTTCTCTCTCTGAGAGAAAAAGTTCTTCTTTATGCCTAACCTAAACCTCTTCTGGTACAACTTGGGGCCATTTCCTCGAGTCCTGTTTGTTGCCTGGGAGAAGAGGCCAAACCCCTCCTCATCACAAGGAGCTTCAGAAAGTTGTAGAGTGCAATGAGGCCTCCCCGGAGCCCCCTCTTCTCCAGACTGAACAATCCCAGCTCCCTCAGCTGCTGTTCATAAGACTTGTGCTCCAGACCCCTCACCAGTTTCGTTGTCCTTCTCGGGACACGTTCCAGGGCCTCAGTGTCTTTCTTGCAGTGAGGGGCCTAAAACCAAACACAATACTCAAGGCGTGGCCTCACCAGTGCTGAGTACAGGGGATGATCACCTCCCTGCTCCTGCTGGCCACGCTATTTCTAATGCAGGCCAGGAGGTCCCTGGCCCTCTTGGCCACCTGGGCACGCTGCTGGCTCGTGTTCAGCCAAGCAACCCCAGGCCCCTTTCCTCTTAACAGTCATCCAGCCACTCAGCCCCAAGCCTGTAACGCTGCATGGGAGTTATTGTGGCCAACGTGCAGGACCCGGCACTCGGCCTTGCTGAACCTCGTTAGGAAGCAGCGGGAGCCTCTCCCCATAGGGCTAAGCGGCCCAGCAGCGCTCTGTCCGTTAGCAGGGCCGTCTCAGCTTCGATCCCACCCCTCGTGCCTGTAACGAATCTTGAATAGCGTTATTTAATTACTATCCGGTAATTAAATTAATCAAACCAAGGGAATCAACTCCCAGCCAATCAGCTCAAAAAGCAATGGGACTGGTAGGCTGCATTTCTATATACCACCTACCTGTGTTCTTGAGAACAAGGTGCAGCCAGCACGAGGGAGGAAATGTGAGGTATTCCTTACAGTACAGGTATTTCTGGGAGAAAATGTCCTCTTGAGGAGTGTAAAGTAGTATTTTTGAGAGGAAATGTCAGGTATTTCTCAGAAAACTGCTATTTCTGGAGATAAGGACATACTTTGTTGGAAACTGACATTTATTAGAGAGAGAGTTGGTATTTTGGGAAAAAATGCCGAATTTTTATCAATAAGACTGCACTGGGTAAGGGACCTAAATCAAAAAGGCCAAATACAATGCGGTGCAACGTGTCACTATTAAACCCAGCAGGGCTGTATCACCATTAAAGGCAGCAGAGCTGTGCCAATGTGTCACTAATTAACCCAGCAGAGCTGTGCAATGTGCCACCATTAAACCTAGCAGAGCTGTGCCAATGTGTCCCCATTAAACCCAGAAGAGCTGTGCCACCATTAAACCCTACTCAAACTACTCAACCAAATGTACAGGCAAAGGCAACAAGCCCAAAGCACAGTATACTACTTCCAGCCATTCTAGCTCTGTATTCAGTTTCACTGCAACTATCCACACTCCTCCTCTTGCAACAGTGCCCTCCTGCAGAACCAAACCACATACAGAGAGAAGCAATCTTTGGACTTCACTTTTCAGCAGTGCTGTGGTAGCTCCACTACACTTAGCATGCCTTTAGCTTCTTCTGGATTACCCAGGTCCTTTGGCAGAAAAACTCTAGACACTGAAAAGCCATTCATGTATACTATTTGGGCTCTTTTCTTTCTAAGGACAGAGTGAAATCTCTATAGGCTGGATTTCAGAGCAACCGGGATTGTATTTCCAAAGAAATTTGAATGAGAAGGCAAAAGGAAAGGAGGTAAGAGCTTTTGCTTACTTAGCTATAACCAAGGATTATCAGAGCCTTGAATGCATTTTGTACCAGGAGTTCCACAATTAAATAACCTAAATGAATGTGTTATCTTCCATTATGGTGTGGACTGGTAGCTAACGTCAGGCTCAGCTACAGACATACAAAAAATGGCTTCTGAATACAGAAAGATACACATGGACATGGCATAAAGAATAGACTGGAAGTGAAAAACTTTCCATGCTGGAATATACACCTTTGCATGAACACTGGATGAACTGCATCCAGCAGATGCACAAAGCATGCTTACAGAGGCGAGATGCAGGTCCCATTTCATCCTTGCCAGCTGTAGCATTAATAACTTCCAGACCAGTGTCTACCACTGTCCAATTTACACTGAAGTTTGGTGCTTTCCCTGGTTAGCGTGCTTCTGCATTGCTAATACCTGAAAGAAGAGATTTAATGAATAAACAATAAACACTAACTGCTGGTCATCATTCTTACTAGGCTGCAAACTGCAAACAATTCTTTTTCTATGGGGACGTTCTCCTGCAGATTTTTCATCAAATAATGGAAATACTTCCATGCATATTTCATTCTCATCGTGATTAAAAATCCTCTCTCTCTCTGTCCTTCCTAGCTCGGCAGGTGAGCATCCGTGGAGCCACAAGAAACCAGGCTTCTCAGAGGAGGATTACGTAAAGATGAAGCAGAGCTCCACGTGGACAGTGGTATTAGCACCTTGCCCTGTTGGCCTGGCTTTGGCTGGGATAGCATTAATTTCCTTCAGAGCATCTGGCACTGCGATGTGTTTGGGAGTCAGGATGAAAATGGCACTGATAACACACCAACTTTTTATTTGCCGAGCAGTGCTGCGTCAAATCAAGGACAGTTCTGCTTCTGACACTGTTCTGCCAGTGAGGAGGCCAGGGGGCACAAGGAACTGGGACAGGACAAAACCAGGAGCTGACCTAAGCTGGCCAAAGGGACGTTCCATACCAAGGGTACCATGCTCAGCAATAAAAGCTGGAGCTGGCCCCAGGAGCTGCCCTCACTCCGTGTCCAGCAGGGCGCTGGTCAGCTGCTGGTGAGCAATTGCCTTCCTCACCTTTTTTTTTTCTCTTTTTAATTTCAACTTATTTCTTTCACATTAAACTGTCCTTTTCTCAGCCCAGGAATTCTCCCACATTTATCTTTTTCTTTTCCACCCTGCTGAGGGGCAGTGAGCGGGCAGCCAGGTGGTACTTAGCTGCCTGCTGGGTTAAATGACAGCACGCAAATCAGGAATACCTGGTCTGGTTTACAGGGCAAACCGATTCATGAGTTACTGACCTGCAAATAACCACGAAGAAGAAGAAATGTTGCTGGTGTCCTGCACAGGTAACCATTGCCCTCAAAGCCCATTCAGTAGCAATGCTAGCTGAGTTCCAGACAGAGCAGATCCAGCAAAGCCTCCCTAGCTGTAACCTCCCATCAATTCCCTTTCACTCTGCTGCTGTAAGAATTCAAGTAGCTAAGTGTATGTTTCACTATGTCTGCACTTTAAAACCAGTGCAGAGTGATGAACCCTCGTCATGTCCCAGCACAAACAATTACAAGTCAGCTAACAACTTGTAACTGCAATCTTACTTAAAGCAGTCAATCCTATTTAGAAGTGCCTACAATGTGCTTTTTCACTTTCCCTTGTAAAAAAATGGAGTTAGATCAGAGTGGTGGTATGAGATGACAGAATGCCTTGCAAACTAAGGCATGAAGGCATCCCCATTTCAGTAACTGTAGAGTATGCTTTGTTAAAATTACCATTATTTCTACATAAATACAACTGCCTTCAAAGGTAGTTCAATGCCGCTGCCGTTAATGTTTTACATGTTCAAATGCAAGCCTCAGTGCCTAAAAGAAGCTGGGAACCAGTAACACTTCTGTTTACTGATTAACCTCCCTCCTTACAGCTGTGAGAAGAGGAATGCTTCAGGGGGGTCTGACCTCACTCGGGTTCTCATCAGCAGAGGATGTCTCCCACGACAGCACTTCCTTCCCACTAACTGCACAGGGGCACGGTGCAACTGGCACACGCGCAGCCACAGATGCTGTGGGCATCCAACTTAGGCAGTGAGCCCCAAGCTCAGCATCCTATGCAGAAGGCCAAAACCAGCAGACCCTTGACTCTTTTCTCATAAATCCAGCTGTGCTTCAGCTGCCTCTCCACTTCACGTGCTCATTACTGCTGAAGATGCCCAGAAATGGCAATGTAGGACTCCAGTGTCACAGCCCAACTCCTGCACATCTCAGGAATGCTCTCAGCACATCCGCAGTGCTCTCAGGCAGCAGCCAGGGCCAGCAGCACAGCAAGTGGTTTGAGCTGCACTTAAGTTTAAGCACTGTGGAACGGCTGTGCAGCACGGTGGCCTCACACACATTACAGGGGTGGCAAAACTTCATATGTCTCAATTTCTTACGAGGAGGGGAGGAGAAAGGGGACAGGAGACAGGGGTGTTTGTGTTTTTCTGATAAATAAAAATCCCATTTTTACTTTAATAGAACTCTTTGAAACTCTATTTTGCACCTACTGAGTCTCTGCTAGGTCCTACATCTAAAATAATCTAGTAAACGTGTATGAATTCAACATTAGCATTGCGGCAAGATGCGTTTCTTGATGGTATTTGAAATACAATCTAACAAAGTTAAGTCAGCCTAAAGCAGATAAGCACAGGACTTGTTTATTGGCTCAGGTCTTATAGCACTTCTGGGTCCCACACCCACTTGTAGGATGCACAAATGCAAGTATGTGAGAGCTGTGAGGTCCTAGATCTAAAATTACAAACCAAATTCAGATAACCAGTTCCTCGCTTACTAAATGAACACTTAGAAATATTTAACTTTCTGATGCTGACGTGTTTTTATGCTTGGCTAATGCTGACCTGGTTACTGTCACCCACAGACAGTTAACCAAGTAAACAATAAACAGTCCCACCCTCCCACATTTGCTTAAAATAGGAGTTGAAAAAATGGAATTGGAATGACAGTTTCCTTTGTTAGTATTTTCCAGTTTTCTTCAGGTGAGATTGTCACAACTTCTGCTGTCCATTCTGAGTGGTTGCCAAAAAATCCATGCATCGAGTCGCATGAAAACTGGAGTGGATCAGGCACAACACAACTGCTTCTGTGCCATTGAAGACCAAACACTGCAGAGCAATCAAACCCTACTGCTCCACAAGTCACACAATGGAAGGTCTACACCTAAAAGAACTATTAATTGAGAGCAGAAACAAAAGGAATCTAAACTCTGACTTTCCATAAGCGTGTAAATTCAGGCTTGTTTTATGAAGCTGACGTGAAACAGTCATTTGCTTAAAGCACCACATACTGGAGAACCAGTACTGAGGCAAGAGAGGTTACAAATGGCTACCACATGAGAAATGAGTCAGTCACATTTTTAATTTAACTTAAAAATATCTGTACTATTACTTTTGCTTGTTTCATGTGCCACTGAACAAGCACGGTGATCGGATACCGTACAGTCAGTACTGCAAAAAATGCCTTTTGCTCCTTTTCTTATTACTGTGAAAGAGCATCATTTCCATTTAAAAAACAAAATGCTGCCCTACATTTTCCTTTAGTGAGTGATTCTCTCCCCAGACCAACACGTCCAGAGTGTGAGCAACTCTTTCAGCAAACACTGAAGACAACTTGCATTTCTCTACCACTTTGCTCATGCACAGTTGAGGCTCTATAGAAGGGATTTTCAGATAAAGAAGGCACTGAACATAACATCCATCATGCAGGGTGTTTCAGCAGCAGTTACACAATTGCATTTCTTAGGTTATTCTGATGTCATAACAAACAAAAATGACTCTGAATTTCAAGTACACTTAAATGACACCTTGGCAAGCAGCACTTATCTGCACGAGCCCTGGAAAAGTGCCCAAGGAGTCTCTGAAAGCGGATCAGCGGCAGCATGAACAGAAACTGAGGCTGCAAAAGCAAAGCACCTGACAGTCATTTAGGTGGATCATATCTTCTCTCTCAAGAGCTGAACATGAACGCAGCACAATCAACTGAAATAGTCACGGGAGGGAAAGACAGGATAGAAAGTAAAATATTTCATTCTCCTCTGAAAAGTGTGACAACTACCATATTTTAGAGAACATCGCTCTGAACTTCTAATATTCTTATAATAAGCAAAATCAAAGGTCACCACTTCTTTAGGCCAGCATTTACATACCGGCAAAGCCTGACAGAGCTCACACCAAGCTTCATCCAAGGGAGGTAAAGGGCTAAAAACACCAAAGTGAAAGAGATGTGAAATAAGCGACTCAAACAGGAGATGTGTAGCTACACGTAGGCCCCACTTGAATCCAACATCACAGATCAGAAAGCTAGCTTTCAAGACTATTCCAGTGCAAGGAAATCCATCAGACCAATTCTTGTGAGCGTCTCCTCTCCAGCAAGCTTCCTGCACATGCTGAGGCATGCATTTTCATGAAGCTCAACAGCTGAGAGTTGAGGTTCAACACTTCTGAACTCTCTCTGCTGCCCAGGCAGCTCTGGCTGAGCTGTTCAAACAGAGGATGCTGTGTCACCACAGACAGATGATAACACTACTTCAGAACAAAAGGTTTGTACAAAGCCGAGGTGCCCTGCTTGAAGAATTGCTTAAAGTTCCCAGACTGCTAATCAGATACCAGCAACACTGCACACATCAGCTGTTAGGTCAGTACAGCAATAGAATGTTTGGAACCGTGCACACTGTCTCTATTACCCGCTTGCTACTCTAAAGGTATACACATCACTTAACATTACAGTACATTCCAGTTCAGGAAATCCTTATGAAATAAATACATGACAAGCTCCCTATGTTCATTTTTGAAATCCATGTCAAACTTTAAACATGCTTTAAAATACTGATCTTTTCTTTTTTCTTTTTCTTTTTTCCCTGGAAAACAAACAGACGTGACAGAAGCCTGGCTCTACAGAACAACGCAATGCACGCAGTGACAGCAAGTATAAGAGATTTCAGTTTTAAAGCTTGCACAACATTACTGTAATTAGCTTTTCTAGATTTTCTTTAAGACACTTCAGAACTTTCCTTTTAAATTGTTTAAATCATTACTTTATTAAATTACTTCAAATACTCTCAGCCCCACTAGAGTCTAGAATCTGAGTGGTGCTAAAGAATAATGCTTGAAGTTTCAATGGCAGCTGCTGGTTACTTGCCAGGGTTGGCTGTTTAGCTGTCTGTCAGCTAATACTTAAAAAGATATAAAAATATTTCTCAGGCACATTCCAGCAGGCTCTAAATGCAGCATTTGTGCATCAACTATGAAGTGAAATGAACATACTGTGACAGCTAGGTCATGCAAACAAGTTGGGTGCCGTGCTAACTAAAGCTAATTCTGCAACCAACAGAGATGGGCAACGAAATAAAATACAGTCAGTGACACCTGAGATCGTCTCTTCATCCACTTTTAGCTGGGCATTGGCCTAAAGATTGTGAGCCAAATATTTTCATCTCGGAAAACTGATAAATGACGTAGCTGTTCAATAACTACCTGCAATGGTAAGAGAAGTGAAAGTGAGAGCTAACGCACTGTCCACAGACGACAAGAGCTTTCATGAAGCCAGGGCCTTCCACTTGCCTCACCTGCTGCTAAGGCACACTGCAGATGGCAGTGACGCCAAAGTGCCTTCAGTTCATTCCGTGGCTTTTTGGGCATCTTTTAACTCACCACCGGTTCTTGCTATGGAATCTCTGTCTGTGTATCCCTACTGGGTTTACACCGTATCTTCTGTGCTGTGACCAGAAACCAGTTTACTCACAAGACGTATTTCCAAGGCTGTGAGAACTGCAGAATCACAATGCTACTGGAACAGACTTAGTTACCAGTACGGCTCTCTCCATTGGATACTTGCCACTCAGTAAAGGTCTGCTGAGTGTATAAAGAGGTGGTAGATCTTCCACCTCTGCTGTCCTCTGCTATGCGGCTCTGGATAGGTGATCCCCATGATATAAACTCTCCAAGATGATGCTAGAGAAGTAAATTGGCTCCACAGAGAGGCTAAGGAAGGCTCCTTGAATACCCAGTACGTTCCACCTAAGAGTAAAGGGAAAAAACAAAACAAAACACGTTCTTTTTAATGGAACAAGTAACATCTGCCAGACACAACATCACGATGGATTTTCAGACTTGCACAGAATCACAGAATGGCTTGGGCTGAAAGGGACCGCAAGGGCCGTCTGTTCCACTCCTCTGCCACAGGCACAGCAGCCACAAACCTCCAGGTCTGGTGCTAGACCAGATTGCCAGGGCCCCATCCAACCTGGCCCTGAACACCTCCAGGGACACAGCATCCACAGCCTCTCTGGGCCGTGTTCCAGCGGCTGTTCCAGCACCTCAGCTCTCTCTCTGCACAGAACTTCCCTCTGACATCCAGTTTAAAACTTCCCTCCTTGAGCTTAGAACCATTCCCCCTTGTCCCATCACTGTCTACCCTTGTGAAAAGTTGCTCACCTCCTGTTTAAATACTGGAAGACAGCAATCAGGTCTGCCCACAGCCTTCTCTTCTCCAGGCTGAACAAGCCCAGCTGCCTCTGCCTGTCTTCATAGGGGGGTGCTCCAGCTCTCTAACCATCTTCGTGCCCTCCTCTGGACCCTCTTTAACAGCTCCAACCTCTCCTATACTGAGGGCCCTAGACCTGGATGCAGTTCTCCAGACGTGGCTTCACGAGGGCACAGCAGAGACAATCACCTCCCCGTCCCTGCTGGCCACCCCTCCTCTGATGAAGCCCAGGAAACCATCGGCCCTCTGAGCTGCAAGAGCACGCTGCTGGCCCACGTTCAGTTTTCCATTCACCAGGACCCCCAGGTCCTTCCCCACAGGACTTTCAACCCTTCCTCTCTTGCACAGAACACGGCCACGGTAACACGGCTACGACACCTGACAGAACTGCAGAGATCAGCTCAGACCAATCCTGAGCGAGGCAACCAAGGTCTGCTGGCAGCATCCTCTTCAGGAGCAAATTCCATTTCCGTGTTTCCCTGCTAACACGCCTGCTGATTCATTTTGCAGCTGCAGCCTAATGCAAGAGATGAATAGGATCATTCAATCAGAGCAAGCCAAACTGTAGCATCAACAGTAAGAAAAACTTCTCCAAAAGAGTGGCTGGGCACTGGAACAGGCTTTCCAGGGAGCTGGAGTCACCATCCCCAGAGGTATTCAAGAAATGTCTAGATGTGGTACCCAGGAACATGGTTTAGTGGGCTGCACTGGTGGCAGGCGGACAGTTGGACTAGATGATCTCAGAGATCTTGTCCAACCTCAGTGACCCTGTGATTCTATGACCCTCAGTCAAGCAGTAGCCGGTGCCTCCAAGACACCTGGCAGCGGACAAACATTCATCCCACAGGGCAGGGATCGTGTCTGCAAGACCTCAGAACCTCATCGCTGTACGGGAAAGTTCAGTCTTTAAATCCTAACCAAACTGTCCGCATCCTGCTGCCAAAGAGGATATTTGTACTCGGCTGCAGTGCTCATGGGTAGATGAAAGCAGTCTCCACGCACACGTACTCTTGGCCTACTTCAGCTGTTCCACAGATTCCAAGCAAAAATCCCTGTCTGCATAATTGTGATCCACACTGGACCAAGTCTAGCATGCATAGGAGCAAAATACTGGAGTTTTTTGTGTCTGTTGATCCGATCAGGTTTTAGCTCCCAGGCTGTTTGTGACCATCGTATGAAACACTTCAAAACCTCAGTGTCCTGTAGAGTACTTCCACTGCACTCTCTTCTGAGGTACACTTGCAAACAATTTGGCACTATTAGAATTGTTTATCTGAGCACAACAGCAACACCCAGACAACTGGATACACCAGCAGAAGGCAAGTTTGTTGTGGTGTTTAATAAAAAACCTAAAAATAAAAGCAGTAAAAATAAAAATAAATACAGCATAACAGAAGTTCATCTGCTCATATAGACTGGTTGTCCTTAACAAAATGTACATCCTAACCTGTCTCACAAGGTGCCCCTAAGAAAAGAGGACTCTGTTAACAGTGTACCTTGTACCTCGTCCTGGGAGGGCAGGGCTACACACCATCATCAGTTCAGCTGGTAACTGCATAACACAACTGTTCTGTTACTTGGAAAAATGGAACTACACATTTTGGCTTGCAAAATGTTGGAAACAGAATAGAGCAAAAATTGTACCCCAATGAAACAATTTATTTGCATATCTTTACTGAGGATGAAAATGGAAGAAGTGTGCATTAGCATTAAAACAGTTTGCCCTGATGTATGAATAAAAATACTGCACTAACAAAAAATAAGGTACATGCATTACATTGAATAAAGACCTATTTTTTGTGATGGTGAAAATGCAAAAAACAGGCAAACATAAGATTAAATGCATCAAGAGAAAACTATTCCTTCCTAGACACCCTTCTGTGGCTCTTGCCATGACTAGAATTTCCTAAGCACAGAGGGACCACAGAGGTACCAACTGCAGTAATGTCCTGACATCGGCAGTGTTATCTGCAAGCAGCATAGGGAAGCATATGGACTACTGACACAGGCAGATAATGTTATGGAAGAAACATCTGGAAAAAGTTCAAGCGTAAGCATTGCAAATTAGGCTCCTACAGTTGCATCTGAAGCTTTCAGACATACAGTTTAAGCCCCTTTTGGTTAGGCATATCAGGTTTTATTTTTCTTGAGCAGTACTTGAGTGATGGAGAGACATTTTTAAAGGCCAGAGTACACCTCTGGCTCCCTAAACCAAACTTGTGCCAGATCCTTTGCCTGGCTTCCATGTTCAGTATTTCTAGAGCACGTGTTCTGTTGCTTCCTCCCACCTCCCACACTCAGCCATCTTGGCTGGCACAGAAAATGACAGCTGAAGCTCCAATCTTTCCAAGTCTGAGGGCGAAAACGAGAGGAGGAGTTTGGACACTCAGACAGCTCACGCAAGGCGAACTACACAAACCTGCACTACAGCTGCTGTCCTGCAGTAACTGAGGCCCGTGCCTCTGGCTTTGCTGCAATGAGCTTCACTTCTACCACTTCGCTGTGTGCCTGCTGCACTCAGAGCAACTGGCTTGCTGCAAGCACAAGGCTTGCAGAAAACATTCCAATGTCCAAAGCCTTAAGCTCTTAAAATGTACCGGCTGGGGTTGGATGACGGCTGAGTTCATAACATTTGCTTTAAATTTCAACTGTGTCAGTGAAATAACATGCAGTCATCCAGAGAAATACATCATTCTTCGAGAAACTGGCAGTGACTCAGATAAACGCAAAACTTAAAACAAGTTCTGCACATTGCAACAGCGGCAGAAAGGAAGGAGCACAGAGACTTCCTTGTTCCTATTTAGGCTGAGCCTCTTTCTGGCCAACAAGAATTCCTCGCTCCCATTAGTACATACACTAAAACCTCCTCTACAGACAGACACGGCCTGAGAACAAGCCACACCAACACGATGCGTCCATTTCCAAAAGGCCACAGGCCTACTGAAACCTGACATCTAAAACTGACCTGTGCCAGTTCACAAGCAGGACTTGTCAGAACATCTGTCAGCAAAAGCTGCCAATTCAGTACTACATTTCACTGAGACCACAATTTCTTTTGAAGTGAACGGACTAAATTCTGTATGGGTTCACTCTAAACCATGAGGTGCAGAGCACAGAGTGCAAGATTTATTACAAAAAATGCTAATAAATTCAGGTTTTCTACCAAGCAGTGAAACACCTAAAAATACAATTTTTCCTTCACATATCAGTCGCATGAGAAAAAGGTTGAGTAACTGAAGCTGCATAAATCAAGCCTGCAAACTCAAATCTTCCAGTGCTCACGCTCAATTTCTAACACAGAAAGGAACCTTGCCATGGCAGCCCCACACGGCAGCCCCGCAGCATGCAGATCCTGGCCATGGAACAGTGCTCAGGTACGGCAGTTTGATGGCTTGAGAAAGGGGTAATGGAAGAAAATTCTCCACCACAAATTCAGTAGCTTAAATCTCTTCCGCAGCAGACATGGGCAAAAGTACAAAACTTCCACATAAAATGACTGAATCCTGGGTCCAAATCTGACTGGGCAGACCAGAGTGAAGCAGGCCCAGGCAATGCCTTTTCTCAACATCAAAATAGGAAAATAGCACCACATTTGCAATTAAAAAAAAAAAAAAAAAAGCAACAAAGCACAAGATTAAGCAGCAAATGGCTGCTGCTGCGTTATGTCAGTGGAAATACTGACATGTCTACAGGCTCACAGATGAGTTTCATGGAAGAGGAGAGCCTCAGGGCAAAGAGACATCCTCCCACGTAAAACGCTTTGCAGGAAAAGGTTGCCTATCCGAGCATAAAAGATAAGCCCTCTGTGGCATATCCTGATGATATGCACTCCTATGATATTCTGAATGTTCTGATTTTAAGTTACCATAAGAAATCAAGAGATCTTCTTTCACAAGCTTTATACAATTTCAAGCTATATGGACATTCTAAATACCAGCTTCTATGCTGACACAAAGCACAAGCCACAAGACTTAGTTCCAGGCTGCCAACACTTACACAGAGCTGTCTCTATTTGAGTTGACTGTCTCAACCTTGGTACAGATAGTGGTGATTGATTCAGTATCCAAGTGAGGCCGTTTTTATTTGCCTGAGCAGCTCTCCATTAACGAGATGGCTGGCAAGTGCAAGGGAAGCCAGGGCACCTTGTGCAGACAGGGACACCCACAGCCGGGCAGCACGAGATACCCCTGCACCTTTTCTCTGCAGTTCCAGAAATGACGCACAGCACAAGGGAAGGAAACCCGACGTGGTGCCACTAAGCTCAAAGCATTGTTTACTTGTCCTAAACTGACTCTCTGCACTTCTGAGCAGCCTTTTGGGGCACAGAAGTTCCTTCAGACAGTCATTGAGCACTTTGTTGCTCTACCAACAATTCTGAACCCACAGCACCTCAAACCCCTTCAAGAGCCCCCAGCTACTGCCCTGCGCCCTCCAGTTCTCCCTGCTGCCCCGTAAGAACCCCAGGATGCCAGCAGCACCTCGTGCCTTAGGATGCCCGTCGGATTTCACAAGCATGCACTCATCTCCTGCATCGTGATCTCTGGCAAAAATATCCAACGGCGCTGACCCGAGCCGGGGGCTCAGCGGTGACAAACCTGCTGCGCTGCAGCGTGTGCCCAGTGCCTCCGGTCCCGCTGCTGGGCACCGCCGGGCGCAGCCGGGCTCCGTCCTCTCCGCGCCTCCCTGCACGGACCGATGGCCGCGCCCGGGATCCCCCCGAGCCTCCTCTTCTGCAGGCTGAGCCGCCCCAGCTCTCCCGGAATCCCACCCCAACCATTTCCCACGCGGTGCCGAGGAGGGGAGGGGATGCGGGGGAGGAACGGGCCGGCGCTCGCAGTGCTACGACACGGCCGTTTGCGCCGCCCCGTCCTTACCCGGCGGAGAGCATGGGGACGGGGTGGCTTACCGGAGCTGCAGAAACGACCGCGGGCAGAAGCGCCCAGAAACGAACGGGAAACGTTTAACCGACGAACGCACAGAGCGACAGAGAAACGACCACGTTCCCAGCCGGCTCCCGGCCTCACGGCGACTCCGGAGGACGGCTCGGTGCCGACGGGGGACGGACAGACGGGCCCCCGCGCCGCCTTCCCCTGAGCGCCCGGCG